CTAATTATCATTTTTGTCCAATATCCAAGCCTTCTTTTAGCTTAATGTTTTATTTTTTGAGATAACATGTTTTTAATTTACATTGCATTCAAAGGCTTATTGGCTGCAAATCTTTTTTATTCAAAGGGCTAAGTGGTAAGTGTCAGCACTATTGTATTGCCTTCTTGACCCCAGTGTGTTTTTTCCTTCTTAATGTCAGTATCATTTAGGCAGATAAATTTATGATTTTATCATTTATTTCATAGTCAACTAATTGCTCTAAAGATATATTTTATTGGGGATTCTTTTTCCTCTTTTCCTTCTTTATCTTACAAGATCATGGGGCATGAAGACACAATCAGGTTAGCCATCTATTGCTTCTAACAAATACCAGACATTTAAATATAGTGGAGTAAAACTTAAATGCAAATAATGTTTTTGGATGGTATCTTGATCAAAAGAATGAGGAGAAAATATATTGATAATGAAATTTGATTAGATGTTGCTCTTAAAACCTTACAATAGCTGGGTTTTTGTTTCCTTACAACTTCGTTGTTTTTTGAGGAATTGTTTTCCATGATTCAGTTTGTATCTTCATCAGGCTATGGAATCCCTTTAGGATCCAGGCTTGCTTTTTTTTTTTTTTTTAAATGTTTACCCCATTTGATAATAAACCCAAGATTTGTCATTTTAAAATAATCTATATAATATAGTCTATATAATATCTTGGGTAACTAATTCTGAAAAACATGAGTTGTTTTGATTTGGGGCAAGATGTCTCACTTTTCTGAAATTAAAAATGTGAAATTCAGTGCTTTGTCAACAATCTGGTTTATTTTCTTACTGCTTATAAGTCTCTGGAAAAGAAATCTATAATAGGTGTTATGATTTCCCTAAAATTTGTGTCATCTCAGGATTATAATATCTTTAGAGTTTCTGCTGACTATATTATGTAAGCATTAACCCTAGAAGCTGGTGACCCCCAAGATAAAGAGAGATCCATGAAAGTAATACTTAGGAGTTTTTGTTTTCTTTTGGCTTAGAAATTCAGGCTTTTATATCTACTTTAGATATCTCTTGAAAATTCTCCTTTTTTTTCTTGTTTCTTAATTGGTAGACTTCATTCATTTATAAAACATGTACTGAATTACCTACTGAGTGTGCCAAGCACTTTTCTGGGGGCTGGAGATACAGAGACTGCTTCAGTTAAGATGTTCCTTCTTACTGCCACCTGGAACTGTTTTGACTACTAGAGGAGTTTGTGAGAAATTTCCTTTCTTTGTAGAAGTGTTTAGAATCAGTCAGAATGAGCAGTTATCAGGTAAGTAGGAAACAAATGTTACATCATGCTTCCAGCTCATGTAGAATGGCTTACTTTATGACTAATCTGTAAATTTATAAACTGGTACGTTCAACTTTAGATCAGTGAGTTATATCAGAAGTGAATAGAAATCATAGTCTTTAGAAACAAGCTATCCTGTTTTGTTGCTTAAAATAATTTGATGTAGCCCTCCCTTTTTTTTTAAATACTAGAACTGCTTAAAACTAATAAGCCATTTAAGCTCAAATATTGCAAATAGTCTAATTTCGTATATATCTCAGAAGAATTTTTGTGGTGTTTATATATAAAATACTTAAGATTTATTCTGATTTGAATATAACTGGATTTTCAGTAAGAATCTTTAGAAGTTTAAGTATTTATAGAAAATGCTCAAATGATTTTATTGATATACTGACAGATTAACAGACCTAAAACACTCATTTGAGGTAGCCTGTCATCGCTGATTTTGTTAGCTTTAATTTGAAACTTACACTCTAGTTGTTGAAATATATAAGTCCTACAGTGGAATACGTAACAGTTTTTCCTCAAAATGTCACTTAGGGGTGGCATTTGGCCTAGCCCATTGTGACACTGCTTGGGATGCCTGCATCCCAGATCACAGTGTTTATGTTCAAGTCCTAGCTCTGCTCTGGATTCCAGCATTCTGCTGGTACACTCTGGGAGGCAGCAGGTGATGCCCGGTCACTGGGTCCCTGTGACCCATGGTGGGGAACCTAGACTGAGTTCTCACCTCCTGGCCATTTGGGGTGTAAATCATGGATGAGAATTTTGTCTTTATCTCCCTCTCTCCCCCCTTAACTCCCCCTTTCCTCTATTCCCCTCCTCCCCAATAAAACATAAAATATAGATCATGTCAATTTCAAAAAGCACATGGGAGAATTCAGGTAATTAAAATAGAATTAAGGAAGGTCTTACTGTATCACTCTTACGACTCTTCATCAGTAATCTCACATTTTTCTTGTTTGAATGTTGATCTTATTTGGAGAGTACTGGTTCGTTTTTCTGTATAATGATACATTATTATATCCTGAGTCTTTTATTCTTTAAGCAAGGAAGTTGTTAGCTGTCCTTAAAATTTTTATTTAGAGAAATCTTTATTTCAGAGTGTATGTATGTTGAATCTGGAAGTTTGGCAATTTAGGCAAATAAAGAAGTTATATTCTGAAAGTGAGCTCATTTGGGAGAAGTTTATAAATGGTTCCATTTTGATTCAGCCAGCTGATGTTTAATTTGCTCTGTAACCCAACCTAAAGACGTTTTGGGTCAGGTTGTGTTTTTAACATGCATTCTATGCAATGTGGTAAATAAGAGGGTTGGAGGTATTTAACTTAGAAGTCCTCCCAGAGGATAAACTGTAAACCTAGCCCATATTGCTCTGTACAAGGTAGGATTTCTAGGGAATTGCTTTTCATTTGTAAAGTTGGCCTGTAAATTTAACAGCATTTTGCTGGGCATGTTCCTTATTTCAAAATGTACCTTTCCCTTCTGGCAGTGTTTGCATTCAGTAGTGTTTGAGAGGTGAAGAAAAACTGTGAGGTTTGGAAAATGATATTTTTATAGTTTCTAACAGATTTGTAACTAATATGTAGTTTTTACTGAGATTTCATTAATTTGGAAATCTCTGATAACTCTTGCAGTTTGTATTCATTATACATGAAAAAATGATTTGTCAAAAAATTGATTAGAAAAAACTGTAGTAGGATTGTTTGCTAATTTTTAAAGCACTTTTGGGGCACCTATTTGCACTATATGAATACAATGAAAACATATGTAAGATAGCTCTGTAGTGATTTTTAAATCTGTCTCATCTGTCTCATCATTACAAAAAAGCTGCCCCTTAAGAACTCCAGTATGGTTCTTTGTTGACCTATCTATTTTGGTTTTTTGACTCTTGAAAAGACCTAAAGTACATTTGGATTTTTTTTTTTTCCGATTTAGTGCATCTTCACTCTCATCATCCCTCAGATACCTCCTTGGTGTGATAATCCTGTAAAATGCTTTTTAAAAACCCGATCTAAAAATAGTTTCCTCAAAACTGGAAAACTTTAGGGCTTAAAATCTATTGGAATACTAAAACTGAAAAAAAAAATAGCCATCACCTCACATAAAGGACCTCCGTAGTTACTTGTTTTATATCTCTTACTAAACGGCAGTTTTGGCTTCTTTCAGGTTTCTTTTTTTTTGTTTCTTTTGACTTTTGGAAATCACAGACTTGATGGTTAAATTCACAGATTTTTCATTTTTTAAGCCACACTGTTTTCATTTCTTATGTGTACAGAATTGGATATTTTCCTAACCAGGAGGGTTGGCTTGTTCTTTTCATCTTTTAGGCTTTTAAAAATTTTAGTCTAAATGTTGTTAGGTAATGGAATAACCATTCCTTTGCAGCTCTTGGTATATTCCAAACTGGCTACCAGAGCCAGGATGAAGTGAAGGCATTAAAACACTAACTTTGGTTGGTTGCTACCTTCTTAGTGCTGAGATAAAACCTTTGTTGGTTGATTGATAGAGCACAAGAGAGCACAATCCTCGTTCCACTAACAGGTAAGGATCCCTTGTGATAAACAGTTGCTGTGAGAGGGAGATTATGTGATAGCCTTGTTTCCTTAATTTATCCCCAAATAAGAGATGTCCAACAAATAGAACACTGTATTCCATAGTGCAAGGATATGCGGCACCTTTATATTTAGAACAGAATGTGAAATTTAATAGGGATGTATCATTCTGTATCACAAAGTACAATTGGTCTGTTTTCCAAAGGCAGCACTGTTACGATTTGTCCCACAGACCCTGTAACTTTAAATATGTATCTAGCTTTCTTGTTTCTCCTTTCAGCTTTTCCTTGGTCAGATGCTATATGCTTTTGAACTTCCTTTTCCTCTCCATTTACCTTATAATAAAGCTAACTGTTTTCCAGTATCTCTACCATCATCTGTTATTTGGGTATATCTTACTGCTTGGATTTCTACATGGTAGCCATTAATGATCATTCCTGGTCCTTCTTGACCCAAAGCAAAAATGATCATGCATTTTAAAAAGATTTTGGAATCTGCGTTATCTATGTCTGCTATTCTGCCCTCCCAAGTTATAAAGATGAGTGATTGAAGAATAGCTTTCTCCATGACAGTAGTCATAGCTTTGATAATATGTAGTTTAGCTTTGTATCACTATAATATGGGCCTATAGTGTGATGAATTCTTTAAATTACCTCAGACTTGAAAACCGAGAACAAATCCAGCTTCTTAATATTTCCAAAGTCTAGTTGTATTCCTGTTAATATGCTTCATTATCCTGTTTCTGCTTTTCATTCCATCATCTTCTCTTTGACAGAAGAATTAACTGGGACTCCTCCTATGGTATCTCTGAGGTTGAGTGCCTTTTCCCTGTCCCCTTAAGACAACTGTGATCTTGTTTCCAGTCATAATTTATCATTTTTTGGTTCGGTCTTCTACTCAAGGTTGAGTGGTTTGTCACAGAGTGTGTTATGGCTTAAACCAATACAGGTCCCTTCTTAATTGTTCTGAAGAATGTAAACATTTCTAAAATTCAAATTAAGAAGGCATTAAGGAAAGCATACCCAAAGGTAGCTCCTTTTTATCCTGAGGATAAGCCATTACAAACTCGAATGACCACAGAATGTAATTTCTTAATAAGAATTTTTTCTTAAATCTATATTCAGCTCTCTATTTCAGTGCTTCTCTCCTACCAGAGGTGCAAGGAGTGATCCTAGAACCACAGATACAGCCAAGACCACGGAGAGCTTTTGACGTCAGGGGTCCACTTTCTCCACTGAACCCTTGGAGACAGAATATCCAGCTTCTGGAGAGAGTGGGAAAGGATAATAAACAAGTGGGTGCTTTCCATTATTTACTTGGGTTTATTTATCTATTGGAGTGTTCTTCCATTGCCCATTTAATTCTATTGGTAAACTCCTTGGGTTCACATAAGAACCAGGTGGGGATGCAATCTGTCTGTTTTTCTGAGAGTGCTAACTAGTGCCCATTTAAAAAAGAAACCTGACATTTATTTAATTTTCTCTCCAGACAGCCAAAGCAATGGATGATTTGGGCACATGATTCGGTGAATGCCTATGTAGTCCACAGGAATTTTGAAAAGGGGATATTCACCTATTTGGCCTTTATGGTATGAGTGGACTTTAAACTACTCTTTTACATTTTAGTAATTGAAAACTTTCTGTTTTTCATTTTTGGGCAAACAAGACATCTGGTCTTTTAATTTATATAGTCAGATGTCCAGGTGTTATCCTGCACTGTTAGAACTTTTTGGTATTTTCCTACCCCAAACATTAGGACTTAATATTTGATATTTTAAAAGATGCAATGATAGTACCATTATGGTTTTACTGTCAAATCTAGGCTTCATTCTTTAATAGAGTAAATATGAATGATTATAAGTTTCAGGATATAATAACCCTGAAAGCTATGTTTAATATACTCAAAAGCCGTTTTTCTTGTCCCTAGGAATAATATTTGTGGCAAAAGAGCCCTTTCCCTAGATTTTCCCCATGGCATTAAGATGATTTTCTCTTAGTTTCTCTGATGCCGAGGGTAGGATTTGATTCCAGGAAGTTCTTATCTACAGTGGGTAGACTGTGAACTTGGTGCTTTTGGCAAGTTTTCATTTTTCCTTGGTGGATTCCTTCTGTGACTCCAGGTATCTTGATAATGGGAGACTGGTTTATTTGTTCTCTAATTGCCCAGATTTCTTTCAACTGGTAAAACATCATACTTCAGCAAAAGGAATTCTTCTAGCAGAGCCTTCATGGATGATATCTGTCAGACATGCCAGCATCTGCAGTTTGGAAGGCAGTGGTGAATGGACCCATGCACTATGTCTAGAAGACACAAGAATGAGCGAGCCACCTGATCTTGTCATTTATAAACTTTAAGATCTACTCTGGTTTATTTACTCTTGGTCTGAACATGGAAAGGCTCAAATAATCTTTTCATATTGGAATTTTACATGGTCATGAAAATATGTCTTTCTATTTAGAAGACTGAAATAGAGGCAGCTTGAGAGACTCCTTTCTTTAAAGCAGCTCTCTGTATCTGTTCCATTTAAAGGACTTCCAGGATTTAAAATCACCTTAGTGAAGTAGGCAGACTTTTTTAAAGCACTATAGGAAATCCAGAGAACATAATGAATTGTTTTATTACACTGAAAGAAATTAATAAATCAAGGGTGAACTTCTTAATTATTCCAGAATTACTTTTAATATTAGGATATACTCTTCAAGCTCATCTTTTGCTGTTCTTGAGCCTTATTCTTACTGTATTTCTCAAGTCAACAGAATGTAATATAGAAATAAAAGAGACATCAGAGTCAGAGTAGCGTGGTCTGTCTTCTGAAGTCCTAAATACCTGTTAAACTTGAAGTATTGTTCTGCACTGAAGGCATACTAAGTCTCAATGATGCTGTCACAAAGCAGCAGTTAATAGAGCAAAGGCAGTTAGCATTAGAATAAGCCTATAAGTGTGAATAAGTGTTACAAAATAGTTATCTAAACTGTCCATTGATTGATAAAAGCAGTTAACAAAATGTTTTATTTCTCTGGTATCTATTAACTGGTCAGTCAAAAGCTATTAATGAAACTTTTCAAAGTATTCTGATGCTGCCAGTTTCTTTTATTTTGATATAAATTTTAAGAATTGAAGTCATAGTTATTAATATGGAAGCAAGTAAGATGTTTTAGAAATCTCACAGATTTTTAAAAGCCACATTTGCTAAAATTTCACCTGATCTTTAATCTTTCTTGGCTATCTATGAGACGTATTTTTTTCCTCATTAATTATAAATAAGATTTTGTAAGAATAGTACTTAAAAGTAAGTTTAAAAGATCCATTTGATCTAAAATTTCCCTGGAGAGCTCTGAATTCCCATAAATGGTTACAGGTTTTTATTCCTGACTTTTGTTACATGTTAATATGACAGTTGATTTACAAGCATATAAATTAAAAAAACAGCTACCCAACATTTTAGAAAGAACTTACAGAACTGAAAGTGAAATTTGCTTGGAAATTTAATGGGTTGAGTTCTTTGAACCGCAGTACAAACCATTTTATATGGCCTATGAGATTATTAGCTTTTTGTTTTAGCTTTGAAGATGAAAAGTGATTTAATCTTTTAATCTCATGCTTTGATTAAATTTTAGCTTTGTTCCTTTAAAGTGTGCAAAAGAAATGTAAGTGCATTTCTATTTACCTCATGCCACTAAAAGCTATTTAAAAGTGAAACTTTTTGTATATTATTGTGAACTGATTTGTTTATTTAAACTTTTATTTTGATGCGTTTTTCTTTCAGTTTTTTATATTTCGTGTCACAATATGCAGTTCTATATTTTTCAATGTTTTCTGAATATTAACGTAAGCTAATTTTTTTCTAGAATGACTAATTGTGTAATATTTGTATTTGTGATCATTTGAAAACTAATAAATATTTTGTCCATGAAAAAAATGCACTTACTGATAAATGGCTTATTTCTGTTTCAGGAGTAGAAAGTGAAAATTGAAACAGCATTTTAAAGTGTATTCTAATTTTATGTGTCTTCTAAGCATTTCTGAATATATATTTTATCCCTTTGTATATAACAATTTTTTTGAGAAAAATGATTTTTGAAACTTAAAATGATGGGGTCACCATGTGAATGTATGACATAGGTGATCTGTTTAATCTGTTTTTGCATTTTCCTAATTACAACATCTTAGCTTTGTTTCCAGAATTGGATTTTTTAGATGCCATTTTTGTATGTTGATTTTGTAAACTATTTAAACTCTTTGAGTTAATAATGTAAACATTGGGAATAATTTGGTCAAATCTTTTAAAACTAGATTGATCAAAATCTATCCCCTTACAAAATAGCATACAAAAACAATTCCTTTACCCAGAAAATGAACATTTGAAATTGATGGCTGATTGTTGAACCACCCAACTAGTAATGACTGTTACAAATGAATTAAATGTTTTGTGTTTGAATGTTCTGCTAGCAAAAACTATAAAATGAGAAATGGTGGCTCCAGAATCTTTTAATATTATCAAGACAGCATGGAAAAGGGTAAATTTTGGGTTTTAATGATTCTTGTCTATGCCTGCATAAGCTTAACCCATTATGTTTCATTGTCCTATATTTAGGACATGTATAAAAACTTGATTGAGCACTAAATATACCACTTATGGTAACTGTGATATAAATATGTCATGGAAATATCTACAGAATTGAAAACTTGGGATTTAATGGGTTAATTGAAGCTGATGCAATAGTCCACTTTTCTATGCAGGGTCTTCTAGGAGCAAGGGATTTCTTTTTGAATTTGGGAGAAGTAACACAAAATGTGGACTCCAAAAATTAAAAGTAAACACTAAGATGGGGTCCTAGGCAAGGAAATAAAAATTGAACTAATGACAACATGTGGATTAAAATGAAATAAAGTGGTTCCCCAAAGAAATTCTGAGAAAATGAGTATTACAAAAGGATGAGCCAGCTCTATTAAGGAAAGGGTAAGGAAGCTAAAATTCTTGGCTTTATTAATCTGGTAAGTTTGGAAAAGATGAGTTAAAGATTTTGTGGTTAAAGGTGGTTTTGTTTTGTTTTGTTTTGTTTTTAGAATATACCCTACCGAAAGGTTTACAAACAAAATATATTTCAATGGGAGGCTATATTTTATGTGGGGGAAGACAAACAAAAAATTTGTAAGCCTTTCCTGTACCTGTATAAAAGGGAGGGGTAGGATGGAGGATAAAACATCCTGCAGCAGAAACTTCAAAAATATCAGAGGTGATGGGTTTGTAAGGACTGTTGCCTACACTCTCAGTAGCCTTCAAAACAAAAGTATTACAGAATGTTAAAGTTGGTTTAGTAATTATATCTTCGAGATACATGATCATAGGCTTACGGCCTCACCATAACTGATCATTGATTGAATTAGTATTTAAAAGTCTGTTTTGGTTCCTTAGTGAAAAAACAAAGGATTTTTTTTTCCTTTTTGAGTAGCTTATTTTTTTAAAAAAAAAAAGTAAATATCACACTGTTCAGCTTATTGTAAGCATGTATACAGATCTTACTTTCTTTTACTATATTGAAACAATTGCACAAAATGTCAGTGCTTAGATGTCCTAAGTGTTGGACAATTCCAACCTAATTTTACTCAGTTATTTTTCTTTTCCTTTGTTAAAAGGATTTCATACTAATTCAGTCTTAAAATGGGAAAGATTGATGTTTTAAAAATGAACACATAGGTGCCCTGGAGTTTTCTCACTTGTACATCTATCAGGTAATTAGATTACTGCATTGAAAACGTTAGGGAACTTTGAAGTGTGCTTCGGGAGTGTTCAGAAATTGTGATCAAAGGGATCTCTGCTCAAGAGGTAAGGTATGGCCTAGAGAGAAATACGTTCAATGTCTGATGATAAAGTAAACCACAACAGATAGCCTTAGGTTTCTCAGACAGATTTAGAATTAGGAAAAGAATTCTTGCTAATATTCTCTTCCAGAGATGGGAAATGGGTAAACTATAAATTTGTTTTTGTATGAGCTTGAAGTAGATTTAGAAATACATGCAGACATGGTACTCTTGTGTATGTGGTCTCTGATATTCCAAGGCATCTCCTTTCTTTGCTCTCAGTGTTTATCACTCTAATTTAGTATTTCTTAAACCCTGAGCACTTTAAAAGTGGGTTTTCCTTGAAAACTTGAGTACACATTCCATGAGATTATTGCCTGGCTTCATTTTGGGTGTGTATTTTTATTCAATGATACCAGGAACTTAGAAAACAGTTGTTCAAGAAAGAACTTTTTATTTTTATTTGAGAAATTCGAGTACTTTTATGAACTTTCATAAATACTAAGGGAAATAATTATAGATTAAGAAATAATATTGTTGCCTAGTATATAAAATCATTGAGAGGAAAAAGTTACACTCTCTAAGGAATTTTTTTTTTTTTTTTAGAGGCAGTGTTACAGAGAGAGAAAGAGAGGTCTTCCATCTGCTGGTTCACTCCTCAAATGGCTGCAGCAGCCGGAGCTGGGCCCATCCAAAGCCAGGAGCAGGGGTTTCTTTTGAGTTTCCCATGTGGGTGTAGTGGCCAAAGCACTTAGGTCATCTTCTAGTGCTTTCCCAGCCGTAGGAGAGAACTGGACTGGAGGAGGAACAGCCGGGACTCAAACTGGTGCCCATATGGGATGCTGGTGCCAGAGGCAGAGGCTTTCACCCACTAAGCCACAGTGCCAGGCCCTCTAAGGAATTTTAAGTAGGCTCTAAGAGTTGATTGTTAGTATAATTCTTATATCTAAAAATGAAGAAAAATGTTGTACTGAATGTTGATGAGATAAGAAAATTGATTAGGATTTTTTCCCTAGGATTAAATTATTAGTATAACTAAGTTTATGGTAACATTAGAAAACACAGTAATCGTCTATCATATGTTTGAATTCTTTTTATAAGAACTGCAGCTCATGGGCATTTGGCTTTTATTTAAAATAATTTGCTACTTACTCCACTTTTCCCTTCATGTAGAACAAAATATTAATACTCTTATAAACTAGTGGTAGAGCTCAGCATTTCAGGAGCTAGCGTTTTATTGTTTAGAATGTCTGCTGATAAGAAATTGATCCAGAATTTGCTCCTGTGCCATTTTTTATTTGAAAGATACTTTAGAAGTTATCTAGATTTCTACCATAATTGTATATTACTAGATGACTGATAACCCCAAAATATCACATTTCTAATGTCACACCATTGATAATACATTTTAAGATTCAAGTCTCAAGACCAACGGCTCAGAGATCTGTACCACTTTGCTACCTCCTCTAGTTGATCCCAGTTCTGGACAAGAGCAAATTGTCAGGTTAAGTATCTCCAGGTTCTTACCTGTTAGTCATGAAAGGTTTTCGGATCTTCTTTGAATATTAGTTTTCATTGTTTATCTTAGTGTTTGGCACTAAGCCAGCATTATACAAGTGTGCTTTACCTGGGCTGTTAGAACACATGACCTTATGTTCTGTTTGACCAGGATACCCATTCGACGTTACCCTTTGTTGATCCAGTAAGGTGCTTAGTTTTATGCATGTTGAGATTCTCTTAGGCAAAGACATTAGTGAGATGCAAAATATTTTGCTTGTAAAAATGAGATCAATACTGTGTTTATCCAAAGACTGAAATACATAGTTTAGTAAAAGAAAAAAAATCAAGGTGATAGTGAAGACTTTGGAAATCTTTGTTACACAAGTACAATCTCCCATTTATTTTTGGTTTTCTTAATTCTGGCATCAACAACTACAAACTTTATTAGATGACTTGTGTAATATGAGATGTTATTTTTTCAGGTTGTCCTTGCTAATGTAAGGGTAACCAGGCCTATTGGAACCAAATGCAGCACATGACTGGTGTTGAGAAGAAAATGAACTTTGTTTCATAACATGATTAAAATTAATAAAAGGCAGTACTTTAGTGGAAAAGTTTGGGAAATATACACGAAACAGCAGAAGACGAAGAAGTAGCTCTGGAATTCTGAGGATGTAGCCTAAATTCTTAAGGATAGTCTTGTACCTCAAAGTGTAGTGTTTGCTGTTATAGCAGCTTGTTTTTTATGTTTAGCAATATTTTTAAAATTCCCAGTTAAAATATTTAGCTTTCTCCCTCCAAATCATAAAATGAGCTCCAGAAAGACACAGGATATTTATTTAATAGTTGCACACACATCTATTTAAGAAGCATTGTTAGAAATGTGGTATTCAGGTAGCCCACAGTATCTGTGGGGAATTGGTTCCAGGATCTTCCAAGATCCCCCAGGATATAAAAATCTGCAGATGGCTCCAGTCCTTTATATAAAAGGGTGCAGTATTGGCTTATAGCTGTACATGTTTCCATATACTTTCCAATTATTTTGAAATACTTACTACTTTGGAAATGCCATGTGAATGGTTGTTATCCTGAATTGTTGAAATAATGGGAAAAGAAAGATCTGTACGTATTCAGTACAGGCACCATTTATTCCTCTTGTATTTTCAGTCCTCAGTGTTTTGGAACTATGGATGCAGAGAGCTGGCTGTGTTTAATCTTTCCTGAGTTAGAATTTGGAGCAAACCAAGGAAGAACAAACAAACCTTTACATGCCTTCCTGTGCGACTTCACTAGGTGCTTCACATACATTTATACAATTCAGCTACCTTGTAAGAAAAGTGATAAGCTTTCCACTTTACACATAAAGGTACTGAGGCTCAGAAGTCAACAAAGACTGCCCAAGGGCCTGTAATGAACAAGCAGGTTCTGAAGAATTCTGTTACACCATTGATTGCCAATTGTCTTTAACAAAAGGCTGCATAGTCTCAGGAAAGTTACATATAGAATCTCAAAATCTAATGTGGAAAAGATAATTACTTGCTTAGTATGCACTTTTATAGATTTTCTTTAAAAGAGCAATTTTAAGGTTTATAGGAAACTGAATGAGAATGGAGTTCCCCTGTGCCTCCTTCTACCTCTCATAGTTTTCCCTGATACCATCTCGGATTGATGTGGTAAATGTTTTTAATTCATGAGCCAATATTGGTATATTATTAACTGTAGTCCCCAGTTTACATTAGGATTCACTATCAGTTTTGCCAAACACATGTCGTGTGTTTACCATTACAGTAATACATAGAATGGTTTATCTGCCCTAGGAATGCCTTGTGTTCCCTGCTGGTGTGATTGCTGGCTGACTTGGTGAGCCTGTGCTAAGCATGGTGTTGCAGGCTGCCCTGCCATCTTCCCCAGTGGTTGTGCCATTTTGCATTCCCTCCAGGAGTGGATGCTAGTTCTTTTGCCCCACATTCTCACCAGCCTTTGGTGGTGTCAGTGAGTATAGCCACTCTGTAATAGCTATCTTGTGGTATCATTTTGTTTGTTTGTAATTGCCCAATGATGGGGGTTTGAGCATCTTTTCATATGCTTATTTACAATCTCTGTTACTTTCTTCAGTGAGATGTCTGCTCAGATAGATTTGTAAGTTCTTAATTGTATTTAGGATACCAGTCTTTTATCAGATAGGTGTTTGACACATGTCACCCAGACTGGCTTACCTTTTTATTCTCTTACCTGTCTTTTGAACAGAATTTTAAATTTTACTGAAGTCTGCCTTCTCAGTTTTTTTCTTTCACGGATCATGGTTTGGGTGTTGTATCTAAAAAACTCATTGCTGGGGCCAGTGCCGTTGGCTCACTTGGTTAATCCGCCTACGGCGCCAGCATCCCATGTGGGCGCCGGGTTCTAGTCCCGGTTGCTCCTCTTTCGGTCCAGCTCTCTGCTGTGGCTGGAAGGGCAGTGGAGGATGGCCCAGGTGCTTGGGCCCCTGTACCTGCATGGGAGACCGGGAGGAGGCTCCTGGCTTCAGATGGGCACAGTGCCGGCCATAGCGGCCATTTGGGGAGTGAACCAACAGAAGGAAGACCTTTCTCTCTGTCTCTCTCACTAACTCTATCTGTAAAATAAAAAATAAAAACTCATTGCCAAACTCAATCACCTAGATTTTCTACAGTGTTATTTATCTTCTACAGTTTTCTTAAAGTTTTGCATTAGATTTAGATCTATGATCTATTTGGAGTAAATTTTTGTGAAATGTTTCTGTTTAAGTTGACTTTTTGGAGGCAAAGTATGAAGTCTATAGTTGTTCCAGCATCATTTATTGGAAAAACTATTCCTTCTACAGTGAATTGGCTTTGTTCCTTTTTCTCAAAGATTTTTTGAGTGTCCTTGTGGTTCTGCTTCTGGGGTCTCTATTTCCAATGATTTGTTCTTTTGCCAATACCATTTTCTCTTGTCCTCTTGACTTTGTTCTTGCCAGTATCATGCTAGTTATTCTGAATATTTTGCTTATCCATATAGACTTTCAAATCAGTATGTCCACAAAAAGCATACTAAGATTTTGATTGGGATTGCATTGCATCTGCAGATAAAGTTGGGAAGAATTGATCTTAAGAAATATTGAGTCATCTTATCCATGAACATGGAATATTTCTCTAGTTATTTAGATTTCTGACTTTTCATCAGATTTTTAAATTTCTTATATAAATATTAGATCATATTTTACTAGGTGTGAACTAAATATTTTTTTGTTAATGTAAATAGTATTGGGTTTTAAATTTCAAAATCCAGTTGTTCATTGTTGGCGTGTAGGAAAGGAGTCTACTTTTGCATGTTAACCTTGTATCTTGAAACCTTGCTGTAGTCAGTTATTAATTGCAGGAGTTTTTTCCTTGATTCATAGGAATTTTGAATATGTGGAATAATTTTATCTCTGAACAAAATTTTATTCTCACTCCATTTTCATTTCCTTTATTATACTAGTTAGGATTACCCAATGTATTGTTGAATAGGAGTAGCGGCAGGAGACTCCCTTGTTCTGTTGCCAATACTATGGAGAAGGCATCTAGTTTCTCACGAGTAAGTATGATAACTGTGGGACTTTTCTAGATAATCCTCATCATATTGAGAAGTTCCTCTCTGTTCCTGGTTTCTCACAATGTTTAACCAGAAGTGGATGTTGGATTTTTTTTAAATGCCTTTTCTTCATTTATTGATGGGGTCAAATGATTTTTCTACTTTAGCAAGTTAATATAGAGGATCATATAAGTTGACTTGGATGTCAGCCAGTCTGGCATTCATAGAGTAAATCCTATTGGTCACAGTGTGTGTTTCTTTTTATCATCATTGGATTTCATTTGTGAATACGCAGTCAGATTTTTTTACATCAGTGATCATGAGAGATATTCTTCTGTAATTTTCATTTCTTGTATTATCTTTGATTTTGGTATCAGGGTAATGCTGGCCTCATGGAATGAAGAGTTTTACCCTCCATTTCTACTTTCTGAAGAGATTATAGGAAATTGATGTCATTTCCATAAATATCAGGTAGAATTCACAAGTGAAATCATCTGATGTAGGACTTTCTGCTTGGAGAGGTTATTATTGTTCAATTTCTTTAATATATATAGGCCTGTTCAACTTAACTGTTTCTTGCAGTGAGTTTTGGCAAATTGTATCATTTAAACAATTCGTTCTTTTCACCCAAGTTAACAGATTTGTTGACATAGAATTGATCATAATGATTCTTATCCTTTTCATGTTAATGGTATAAGTAATTCATTTTACTTGTGATACTAGCTTTTTTTGTGTCCTTTTTTATTGGTTAAGATGATCTGATGTCTATCACTTACTGATCAAAGAATGAGATTTTGGTTTTGGCTTTTCACTTTGAGTTACAGTGATTTTTTTTTTTTAAAGTTTATTTCAGAGAGTTAAACATCTATCTGTGTATATCTATACACACACACAGATATATGGAGAGCGAGAGGGGGGAGGGGGAGGGAGGGAGAGAGAGAGAGAGAGAGAGAGTTATAGAGTTGGAGAGAGTGTTAGTTTACACGGATTGACTCCCCAAATGCTTTCAGTGGCTGGCAGTTTGAAGCCCAGAGCCAGGAAGTCCATTTCCAGTCTTCTACCTCTGGTTTTCCTAAGGTGGAATTTAAGATTATTGATTTTTTGGTCTTTGCTAATCTAGGTTATTCAGTGCTATAAATTTCCCTCTAAACACTGTTTTGGCTGTGTCCCCCAAATTTTGGAAATTACATTTTCATTTTTATTATTTGAAATCTTTTAAAATTTATCTTGAACTTCATATCTGTGATACTTAGAAGTGTTGAATTTCTGAATATTCTGAGTATTTCCAGCTATCAGTGGTATTGTGTCTGTGATTTTTAGTTCAATTTCCATTGTGATCTGAAAGCTGGGTATCTGGTAACGTGTTTCACTGCCCAAAGTGTGGTCTGTTTGCTTAGTGTCCCATGTGAGCCTGAGCAGTTCTGATGTTGGATGCAGCATTCTGTTGATGTCAGGTTGATCCTGTTGATGGTCTTATTAAGTTCCATTAATATCCTTTCTGATTTTCTGCTTCCTGGACCTGTTAATTACTGATAAAAGGGTATTTAAATTTTTAACCAATTCTCACATTTTTATCAGCTTTGCCTCACATATTTTTGATGTTCTATAATTAGGCACACCTATAAGGATGATATTGCCTTCTTGGAATATTGATCTTTTTATCATTACACCTCTTTATCCCTGATAATTTTCCTTTTTTGAAATTTGCTTTGTCTGAAATTAATACTGCTATTCCTACATTCTTTTGATTGCTAATAGCAGGATATATGTGTGTCTGTTTCTTTTATTGTGTATGTGTTTTATCCAACCTTGGACTTTTTTTTTTTTTGGTAATCTTCAGCACAACTATTAACCCGTCCCCTCAAGTTTCCGCTTGTATTAGTGTGGTACATTTGTTGCTGTTGATAAACTAATTTTGATACATAAAAGTTCATAGTTTATATTAAGGTATACTTTCTTTGTCCTATAGTTCCATGAATTTTGCTAAATCCATAATGTCACATATCCATCATTTTATCTTACAGAATAGTTTTTTTTTTTTTTTTAATTTATTTGAAAGGCAGAGTTACAGAGGCAAAGAGAGAGAGAGAGAGGTAGGATGGTTGGTCAGTCAGTCGATTGGTCTGTTGGTCTTGGGCCATTTTCTGCTTTCCCAGGCCATAGCAGAGAGCCAGATCAGAAGTGGAGCAGCTGGGACCTGAACTGGCATCCATATGGAATGCTGGCACTGCAAGCGGCAGCTCCACCCGCTACACCACAGTGCCAGGCCCCAGAATAGTTTTAATTCCCTTAATAATACCCTGTGCTCTACATGTTGATCCTTCCTCATCCCAGCTTCTGGCAACTGCTGTCTGTGTAGTTCTGCATTTCCCAGAATGTTAGAGAGTTGGAATAATATAGTATGTCGACTCTACAGACTGGCTTTTTCACTTAGCAATTTGCAGTTTAGGTTTTTCCATGTCTTTTCTTTTTTGGCTTGATAGTTCATTCCTTTTTATTATTATATATGTCTGCCATAGTTTATCCATCACCTACTGAAGGACATCTTGATCACGTCTCATTTTTGGCAGTGTGAATAAAGGCTGTTACCAACATTTGTGTGTGAGTTCTCATGTGGACATTCATGCTTCAGCCTGTGTACGTGCTTGCTGAATCACAGAAGCCTGTGCCTAGCTTGGTGCTGCAGAGACTGCCCAGCTGTCTTCCAAAGAGGCTGTATTGTACTGCATGCCCCACAGCTATGGATGCTAGTTCTGTCGCTCTATTTTCTCCCCGGTATTTGGTGTTGTCAGTGTTTGATTGTAGCCACGCTAATGGGCGTGCGGTGGCATCTCATTTTAGCTTGTAATTACCTGATGGTTTACGATGTTGAACATCTTTTCATTTACTTATTTTCAATCTCACTTTTTTGATTAATTCATTTGGTGAGGTGTCTGCCAAGATCTTTTGCCCATTTAAACAATGAAGTTAATTTTTTAATTGTTGAGTTTTGTCAGTGCTTAGTGTATTTTGGATACCAGTCTGTGTTTGACAGATGTTATCTCCCAGCCTGTGGCTTGTCTTTTCATTCTCTTAACAATGGCTTTTGCACAGGAGAATTTTAAATTTTAATGAAGTGTACTTTTTCAGTATTTTTCTTTAATGGATCTTGATTTTAATTTTATCTAAAAACTCATTGCCAAACCCAAGGTCACCTAGATTTTCTTCAGTGTTACCTCCTATAAGTTTTTCAGCATTTTTGAGTTATAATTTAGGTATTTCACCCATTTTTGAGTTAATTTTTGTAAAAGATATAGGGTCATTGTTTAGATAGATTTTTTAATTGGCTGTCCAGTTGTTCCAGTACCATTTGTTGAAAAGACTTCTTTCTCCACTGCATCACCTGTCTTCGGTTGTCAAATATGAGATTTAACCCTAAATCTGCCATACCCAGCCACTTCTTGCCATCTCCAAGCTACTGTCATCTCTTGCCAGAACTATTGGGTTAGCCCTTTCTGAGCTTGCTTTATGTCTTGACTTCTGTTTTCTTGGTAGAATGTGATTTATTCTAATTTTAAAGTACAAGTTAATACTCATTTGCTTTTTTTGGTACAAATAATAAATTCCAAGTTCTTTATTATAACCTGTGAGTTCCTAATGATCTGGCCCTACCCTCTCCTCCAGCTTTACCCTCTTGCCTCTCATTTTTGTCTCTGAAGTTTTGACTCTTCTGCCTTGGGGATTCATGATGACTGGAGTGCCTCTTCCCCCCGCTTTAGCTCTCGACTCAAATATTTCTTCTTCAGGCATGGCTTTTCTAGATGCTATGCCTACTCTGACTTCAGTTTAACATAACTTTGACTCTGTCCTATTGTTTGTCACAATTTAATAGCATATATTGCCTGACTTCCTGACACCAGGGTTCCTGTCTGTGCTGTTTTCTTACTTTTAGCAGTTGCCACGGTGGCTCTCACATACTAGGCACTGAACAAATAGTTTCTTTAAGAAGCCACAGGCAGCCTTTGAGGTGCCTAAATGTAGTGCGTGAGGAAATCCATACATAGATAGGGAAATCACAATGCCATTTCAGTGCTAGTGGTAGGTCTTGGAAAATAAGCAATGAAAGATTAAAGGAAAAAACAAACCTTTTGGGTTCTTTCTCACTGGTGTGAACTAGTGATTGTAGATGTCAGTTTATTGCCTAGATATTGATACTGTGGGGTTAAGACAATTCTAGGTCCAGAAGTCTCAGACTTAGGATCTCAAGTGTCCCAAGAAACCATGAATCTGTGCTGACACTGCGGGTGTTCCAGGGGGTGGTCTGAAGCCCACTAAGTCCTATAGCACAGTGATTTAGATTTTAGTATCTGGCTCTGTCAATCTCCTTGGGCAGGTCGTTTAAACGGTGCCTCAGTTTCCTCTGTGAAGAACCAATAAGCATGCCTACCTCCCAGGGTGGTACTGATCAGTAAGTGGGCCAGTGTGTGGAATGTACGTGCCAGACACTGCAGTAAACATGGAAGAGCTTCCTGCGTTCTCCTGACTCAAGCATGAATATGGCTGTGAGCCCATCCCTTCCAGTGCACGCCAGGTCACGATCCCATCACCTCTGCTTTTTAAATTCCTTCTCCACATTTAACGTTTTCCTTTCAGCTAGATCCCTCTCAGCTGGGTAGAGACATATTCAGGTCTCTGGAAGAAAAAACTTTATATGTAATTCTAGTTACCGCCCCACCCTTCCTCTGTATACCCAGACCTAAAAGAACTCTCCACAGTGTCCATTTCTGCCTCCTTTCCTCCCTCTTCAGCTCACCTGGTCTTGCTTCCAACTCCAGTGACTTCACTGATACACTACTACTGAAGTCAGTGGTGACTTTGTCACTAAATCAGATGAGCAGTTTTCCTGTCTAGTCTGAGAGGTGCCATCTGCAGCATTCAGCAAAACTGATTGTGTTTTCTGCCGCTTTCGGTTCTGGGGGCTTCCCAGGCTGTGTGCTTGGTCAGTATCTGTCAGTTCTTTAGACATTCTCCCCATACTGCAGATTAGATACCTTCCTGTGTTACCTGTCCAACTGCCTATAGGTTTCATTCCTTACTTGACATCTCTTTGGGTGTCCCGAGAACACAGTGTTTTATGAATGTAACGATCTTTCTGTGCCCTCAGATCTGGGTCTCTCTTTGCATGTCATCCTCAGACAGCCTGCATCCAGTTACATGCTGGGAACCTAGGTGTTAACCTGCATGTCTGTATTCCTTATGTCCCAATCCATCATCCACTGCTGCTGTTTGGGTTTGAAATATCTCAGTGATCTGTCCATTTCTTTTCTTTCACTACCTAGCCCAGTGCATTATTTCTCAATCTGAAATACAGCAGTTCTCACTGCTATCCTTGTACACAACCTTGCACTAATCAGATTCACTCTGACTGTGGGGCCTGGGTGCTGTTTGTCAACACAGTTAATGATGTTACCCCTTCAGTTAAAGCCTTCATGTGGCTTCCCATTGTTTTTAGGGTGTATGAGTGGGGAGAAAGGCAAGAATCCTTATACAATTTGTGAAATCCTGAAAGATCAAGTCCCATTTTACCTCTGCAGTCCGGTCTTTGGCCACTTTTTGGTGTTTCTTGCTCTCTGTCTCTAGCTCACCTCAGAGGCACCTCCTGTGATGTTTTTGAACCAGCAGGATCACCATGTATGTATTGGGCCATTCATTATAGTCCTGGTTTTAAATCTTTGCATGCTGTTTCTTCTGTTAGCTACCAACCCCTAAGGAACCAAGGGTCTGGTTTTTGCTCACTGTTTCCAATGCTTAGGAGCACAGTAACTTGCTTATACCCTGCATTTCACTGAATTTTAAGATGCCTTCCTTAATTTTTTTTTTTACTAAGAAAAGAAAATGGAGAATGAAATGCAAGGAGAAACCTGCTGTTAGATGTAAAATGTACTGTTTAGAATCAATGGAAGATCACAGTATTACTGAATTTTCTATAAAGCTGAATTAAATATTTTCTCCTAACCCTTTGCTTGCCTATGAAGGTAAGAGAAATGTTACTGAGGAAAAAAATTCAGAATATTTCTTTCTGGATCCTGGCTCCTTGGGAAAAAAAAAAAAAAAAAGACCAAAAGACCGTGTAATGACTTTACTGTGAAGGCCTTCTAGAACTAAAAAGTTAGATGTCTTACTTTAAAATATTCAAACTTGTTTAGTTTGATCTGAAGTGTAGGTTTGAGGTAAACTTTCTGAGTCGTGATTTTTGTCTTGGAATACTATTTGGGAAGGTATATTTAGTGATAGTTTAAGAATATCAAAGATTTTTACGTTTAGGACATTGTATAAGTGAATCATCACTTGTTTTCTGGTCTTGCTTTCATTTCATTAATTTACTCTAATTCTCATACTTTTGTTAGAGGAGGATTAACTACTGCCAGCATTTCTGTTTCCATTCCTTGGTTTAGGAGGTTATCCTCTCCACCATTCTCAAAAGAGGCTGTTTCCCTAATACATTCAGTTCTTGTTCTGATTCGATTTATACTGACACAAGAGAAATTCAGAATGGAAAAGTCAGCTTGCCATGTAGCCTCGTAATTTCTCAAAGGAAACTTTAAAAATCTGAACAGGAACACTCTCTTGTGTCTGTCTATAAGAAAATAAATTTTTAAAGTTGTATAGTTTTAAGGCCTGTCTTACCTGTTTCTGTAGCCTGACGTTTGGTAGTTGGAATAAACTAATCACTTCAATCTATAATCACCTAAGATACTCATTAACTGAGTTACTGTTTATTTATTTTTTTTTTTCTGAAACAATGTAGCCCCTTTTGTTTTTCCTGCTTGAACTGCCCAACATTCTTCAGGACAATTTTGTGGCAATTATGAGGTTACTGTCCATTTTTATTCTGAAAATTGGGTAGTAACAAAATACGTTGCTGGACAACAAACTGTTGTAAGTAAACAAATCGGTACAAAGAGGTCCTTCTGTAGAGGAAAAAGTACACTGGAGTGCAGAACTGTTTTCTTTGCTGAGGTTCTGATATGTCTGAGATCTGTGCTTGAGAGAACTGCACACCTTTAGTATCTTTGAAGATGTTCAGATGTTTGTTAAAGTTGAAACTATTTCTTTTTTCAATTCATAATATTTCTCTGAAAGCAGAAAATGAGCTTTAGATTTATTTAAGTTAAAGGTCAGTGAGCTGCTGTTATCACACTGATGACAATTTGTATATAAAATAGTTTATTAAGTGTTTCCTAAAAGATTTTTAAATTTTATCTATTTGAAAGGCAGAGAGACAGCAAGCTCCCATCTTCTGATTCACTCCCCAAATGCCTGCAATGGTCAGGGCTGGAGCCAAATCCAGGATCTCGGAACTCAACCCAGGTCTCCCACATGGGTGCAAGGACTCATCCACCCAAGCCATCACCTGCTGTCTGCCAGGGTGAGCATCAGCAGGAAGCTGGAAGTGGGAGCAAAGGTGGGACTTGAACCCAGGTACTCTAATGTGGGACATGGGCATCCCAAATGGTGTCTTTACTGTGCCAAATGCCCACTCCCAGAATTGCTATAGATTTAATCATAAGGACTCCGTTTTTCCATAAATAATTTTTGTTTCACACATTTTACATGCATAGTCTCTCAAATTTTAAGTTGATGACATTCTATCAGTGTATACATGTCGCAAGTCTTTTCTTAATATACAAATGTGATTTTAATAATAACTTCTTGTTTTTCAACATTGTCCTAAAAAAGGACATTAAAAATACACTTGTAATGATTTCAAAAATTACTAGTAGTTCCACTTAACATATGAACTATTAAGCTAGAACCTTAGTTGCAAGATCTAGCGAGTTAAACGCCCCAGATCATCTCCTAGTAATCACCTTATTTGTTTGAATCTTCTGGTGGTTGGTAGAGGACTACCTGAATGAAGACACAGTTTATGCACATTTGCTAATTAGTGTAAATTTGAAAACCTTTGTTTAGATATAGTATATTTACTAGGTCTGTAGCATTTTAGTATTGGCAAATTTTTATTGCCTTTTTTACCCACTACATTAAAAATGATAGGGGACCTATAATCAATCTGTTATCCTTAAAGATTCAGCTTCTTTTGTGCAGTCAACTGTCGTGACATGAGAACCACCACCAGGAATAAAGAGATTTATTTGTAAATTCTAACTATAATTTTTCAGTGAAAAAATAAGATACTACAAGTATTTGCTAGGTTTTGGGTATCTTATTGTTAGTTTAAATTTGGGTTTCTTGATAGAAAAACTAGAATCTAGGAGAACAAAATCTGTTAACTGTATTTATTTTTATGGCTTCTGTTAAGTCAGAAATTTTCTTAGCTCACCCTCAGTATAGGTACATGCTTTGAATGCAAATGTAAGAATGGTTTTAGATCACTCTAACATTTCAATACACAACAAAATAATGAAGTTTCTAAATATCCATCTGTAACATGCTTCATTTTTTAAAATATTGGTTGAATACTTTGACAGCAGCATGAATTTGATTCCAAGGTCAATTTGACACTTTCTATGACTGTCAAAACTGTCATTTCACAAAGGTACATAAATTTGAATGGCAGTGCTTTGTAATTCATGATTCTGATCTTTGTAATACTATCTGGCATTCATACAGAGACTTCTGGTGATTGATAGCTAGTGAATTTCCATCTTCCCTAATGTCATTCTATCCTTGGGCCTGATTGGAATGCTTTACATTTCTGTCATTCAAAAAATATTTTATTTGAAAGAGTTAAAATTGCATTGCTGGTTCACTCCCCAAATGAACTATGATGGCTGGGGCTGGGCCAGGCCAAATCCAGGAACCTGGAACCCTGTCTGGGTCTTCCATGTGGTGGCAGGGGCCCAAGCATTTGGGCCATCTTCCTCTGCTTTCTCAGGTGCATTAGCGGGAAGCTGGAGCAGAAATGGAGCAGTAGGGACTTGAACTGGGCACTCATATGGGATGCTGGTGTCGCAGGCAGTGGTTTTACCGACTGCACCACAATGCCAGCCCTAAATTTCTGTCATTTTGAGAAATAGATTAATCTACCAATATGCTTCTTTTGGAAGATTTTGAAAAGAGGTTAAAAGTTCCATTTGCCAGGTTTTGTGCAGATGGGATGTCTTACAAAATCAGTCTTCTCGACATTTTTAGTACAGATCACAACTTGATGGGGATGTTTTTAAACATCTGTCTTTTAAAATCCCTTTCCGTTGAGAAGCTACTGCAGGGGAGCTAATCTGTCCTGAACAGTGAACACATTCCTGTTTCCTTGGCGGTAGGGATCCAGTGTGTTTATTTAGAGGATTGGGTTTAACTCCTCGTCACAGAAAAGGTCAGTAAACTGTGAATGTTTTTGCAGAAGAAGTCTGTAACCTATCTTTTAAGTCCAGTGATTGTTTCAAGTTCTTCAGATAAAAGATTTTCAATCCTACTCTTACCTCATTGAAAATATCCTAATCCTAATGGTTCTTCTATTTTAAGAGTCTTTTCAAAAATATACGTGACACACTCACACACACACACACACACACTCACTCACTCACTCACACACACGATGATATCCTGGAACATGTAGTATACTGTTTCTGCTTCTTTGCTGCATTACCTTGTCTGTGGCAGAAGGTTTCATTGAAGAACTTTCATGAGTTGCTATCTACATTTATCTGAGAATCCTTTTATTTAAAACAACTATTCCATCAGAAGTTAGACTTATACACAGTGTGTTAAAGAAGAAATATGATGGTGAGATTGCATCTTCTCCATTTAAGCTTTCCTTTTATCCTTCCTGTTCATACACACAATATTTGCTCTCTGTTGGAAAACAAGTCTAGCCAATACCCTGGACTGAGCCATGTAAGAATTGTGTCTCCTTTTTATCTTCTATCCAGTCTTCTCTGTTACAATTCTTTGCTCTAGTGTTCCCTTCATACATCACACAGAAGTTCCTTTAATACTTCCAATGTATTTGTTGACAACGAATTGCATTTTAATCTCACCATACTTTATTTTTTTAAACATTTTATGTATTTTTACCAAGGAAAGAAGAAAAATCTTTTCCCAGTATCATATCATTATCTTTGTTAGTAATATTTAAGTTATTGTGAAAGGTTGAAGACACTAGATTGGGTGTTGCATACCTTTAAACAGATCTTTAAAAAATATGGGAATTTGTCTTTCTGTTCTAACTGTTTAATTTTTAGATCCTGCTAATAGTGATTACTTCATAGTCTCAGTAGTCAAAGTACAATGTATATGGGGACTTAAAAAAGTTCATGGAAAATGGAATTAAAAGATAAGTTTATTTTAGTGCAAAATTTATAAACCCATGCATAGTTTTTTCATAATCTTCTATCAACTTTTTGAGGACCCCCTTGTATATAGGACTGTATCGGTTTTGTTAGTGGACATAAATCTATATTTCAAATAGAAGTCTTGATACCTTTCTGGGGTTTATTTGGTAGATCTGATTATTTTATTACCTTTATTAACTGGTGTGGTTAGGTGGGGTATCCATGTCAGGAAAAGTGGTCACTTCTGTATTTTCCTTTTATTTCCTTGTATTTGCTTTATTAATATTATCCTAATCCCATATTCCTTTGCAGGAATGCTTTGAAGCCATTTCTCCATTTAGTTTTAAAAATAATGAAGTATAGCTCACCTAATCGGATGCCCATAAACTGCAGCAAAATTCACCACACAGAAAGTAACCAGGTGAAGGTGGGACTTCCCATAAGGAAGGTTCCAGTGCAGCACAGCTGGCCTCCTGGGGTGGTGGGCGCCGCAGGACAAGGGCATGGACAGGTGCCAGCAAATGTCAGCAAAGCTCAGATGGCTGGGAGAAATAAACCACTCCAGTGTTTCCCTTCTCGGAACAAGTAGATTGTGTTTCATAGATCCATGTTGGAGATTACTCATTTGTAAACAATTGAGATTTTCTCTCTTGGTCTTCTCAAATCAATGTGCATGTCAGTTAACAGTCCACAATTTTTATCATCACCTTAATTTTCACAAGTTTGTTTTCTATTTCCAAAGTCTCTGAACTCTGAAATATATGTAATCTTAGATCAATATTAAAGCAGAACTTGATTGAAATGACAATACTACATCTATGATAGTTTGATAGCTAGACAATATAATTAGGACCGTCTATGAATAAAATAAGCAATATATTCTTAAATTTACCCTTTTGGGGGAAATGACACAATTTGTCTAATTGGAAATACCTTTTCTGTACTTGTTATTAATTTCCTATGCTGTCCTTTTTCCAGCAAAACTGTTTTGAACATACTGACGTATTTTTGAGGTTTTGTTTACTCTGTAGACCTTTAAAGAAAAAAGAAACATTAGGCTAGGAAATACTTCCAAAGGTTCAGTTTTTGGTAGATCAAGGAATAGTATTCCTGCACATTTGAAATTTGAAATGTAATGATTACCTGCTGTTATTGATATGTCTTCCATATCATAATTTCTTCTGGAAAATTTTCCATTTTATGCTCACTTTTCCCATTAGCTTTACCAATGGTTTAGTGAGGAAGGAGTCTTTTTTTTTCTTTTCTTTCTTTTAAATAATAGCAATAGTTGACTTCGCTCTCCTATAATTTGCATTAAGTGGTCATAGGTAAGTTCATATTGTATACAAAAATATATTTGTAAAATACTCATGGAATGAATAACTTGAAAAATAGCCCTATTTCAGTTGTTACCTGCGATAATTAAAAA